AGGCAGACTCTGCAGGCGCTCGTCTACCTCCACGAAAACAAAATCATCCACAGAGACCTGAAAGCCGGCAACATCCTCCTCACGCTGGACGGTGACGTCAAGCTGGGTAAGGGCCAAGTGACACCCAGCTGTTAACAACAACAGTCCAGGATCGAGACTCTGACTCTGAGCCTCGGTTCACTGATGTTTAAAGTGGAGAGGGAGAAACCGAAGAACGGAAAAAGAATTTGTGCTTGTAAAGGTTTCTCATGAGAAATCGTAAGAGTTCAGTCTGACATAGATGAACCAGCATGAAAACTGTTGTTTTTTTATGGCATCATCTAGATTTTTCCTCTTTTTAATCTTTCTAATACAAGAATCTTGGATGTTCACGTGACTCTGTGCAGCTTGTTCTGACCGTTTTTCCAGAAACACAAATATTTGCTAGAAATTTGACCTGATTTTTTTCTGCCAATAATGACATGATGACCTTGTGTCTCTGGAGGGAGGGGAGATGGTCACAAATAAAGGGAGATTTGTTTTAAACTCCTTCGATCCTGCTGGTGCTTTGAGCTTCATTGCTAATGTGGTTTTATCTTTATGATTCAGAGAGAGGCACAGCTCCATCCAGATGTTTCGTTGAATATCTTCTGGCTTTTAGTATCTTCTTATATTGTCGATGATGATGATGATGGAGGGAGTAATGCTGCAGGTCGACTCCCACGTCAGGAAGGTGTATTTGGGTCGTTCCCATCACCGTTACGCTGACATCAGTAATATGATCAATGCAATGACAGGCTGATGGTTACTCACCATGCTGTGGGAATATTCTTCAAACCGCTTTGATTTGTTCTCATGCCGAGTCAGATTAACTTGTCAGGGACTGTTTTCAGCCTCATTGACTTCTCATATTAACTGTCAGCTGTAGTTTGGCTGCACAGCAAAGGTCAGCTAGTAAACACCCATACACACCACTCACAACACACCACATTCACACTAACAGAAGAGTGTGTGCAAAAGTTGTTAGTCTGCGATAAAGACTGTGCCTGGTTCAGTTCTTTCACACTCCTGTCCAAGCTCAGACTCTTCAACGTGTTATATAACAGTTTCACAGGTGTGTGTGTGTGAGCGTGTGTGTGTGTGTGCGTTTGTAAGCGTGTATTCATATCTTTGTGGGGACCAAAAATTGGAAAGCCTTTGTAACAGCAGAGGCTGTTCGCTGGAGCTGCTCAGCGTCTGGGCCGACATCCTCAGCAGATGCAGCGCTGACGCTGACTTAAACGGGGATGAGTCACTGGGGAAATGACACACAGCAAGCATTTTGTCCAGTGACATAACACACACAGAGGTGCCTGTGCATCTGCCTGCTGGGACGCAGATGAGCGTGACTCACTCACGATACAAAGAATGATGCCTTCATGCACGTGTAGCTGCAGAATGAGGTTTTATGTCGTTTTTCCGTTTTGAACATTTGGCTTTTGAGGCTGCATTTGGAAAATAAATGACGACAGTGTAATTCCTCTGGCTAATTTCTGGTTTTGCTTGAATCACATGACTTCCAGCGGACTTCGGTGTGTCTGCCAGGAACACCAAAACACTCCAGAGAAGAGACTCTTTCATTGGAACGCCGTACTGGTGAGTCAAATGTAGAACAAAAAAGCTTTTGCTTATAAAAACTGAAAAACTCTCACATCAGTGCTAAAAAGGGGGAAGCTCAGATTTCTTTTCTTCTTGTGTCTGACTCCAGGATGGCTCCAGAGGTGGTGATGTGCGAGACGTCCAAGGACCGTCCGTACGACTACAAGGCTGACATCTGGTCCCTCGGGGTCACCCTGATTGAGATGGCACAGGTGGAGCCACCAAACCATGAGATGAACCCCATGAGAGTTCTGCTGAAAATAGCCAAGGCCGATCCTCCGACGCTGATGCAGCCGTCACGCTGGTAAAACACAGCTTTGCTTTACACACACACTTAAATAAATAAATTCACAACTGTAGAAACCAAAATAATTTTTGCGTCAGGCTGTAAATGTGAACTTCTGCTGTAAATCTGGGCTTTGTAACTTGGAGTCTGCATCATTTTACTTCCACCTTTAGGTCTCCAGAATTTAGCGATTTCCTGAAGCGCTGCCTGGACAAGAACATCGACAACAGATGGAGTGCGATGCAGCTTCTGCAGGTACCTTTGTTTCGAACATCTCTCCAGCTAAACCGCTGAGCACTTGTTTTCTTTTCCTTAAGCCCCACACCTGCACACTTGCATGCTGCAGCCCTCCCCAACCCCTACCCACGGCCCACCTGCCGTTAGAGCGTAAGCCGGCCGACATCTGTTTACCTGCTCGGCGTGGGACTGACTGTCCCAGCGAGGCTCATCCCCGTGTGCTTGAGCTGACGTCAGCAGAGCGGGCTTTTCTTTCTCCAAAGGGTTTAAGGTGCTCGGCCACGTCTGAGCCACTTACTCGCAGAGAGGACGCGTCGGTGCACGCAGGCACACCGGAGCACGCCGAGGCTAACGGATTGTTCCGTGCGGACGAAGAGCTCAATGGGCTTAAAAATACAAAATAGCAGTCTGCCGCCGATGAAGGTTTTGATATCAAAGAAGCTGCATATTCTCAGGCCGGCGATCGAATGTGTGCAGCACGTTTCTAAGTCGAGGAAGGTGAGCTGTAGCGTTTCTCTCTGAACAGCGTGCTGATCTGTTTGTTTTTGCACTCGGGCCGCAAGAAAGAAGAAGGGTGAAGAGTAAAAGCTGAAATGGTTGTTTTGATCTACTGTGAAGAGTTTGTATCTCGGTCGGCAGTTAAAATAGAGAGTTTACCACAACATGTTCCCCCCACTGGGTGCTTCTTTTTTAAATAGTCTTTATTTCCTGTTGTTTTTCTTTCTCTTACGAGCAGCATTCATTCGTGTCTAGTGTGACGGACAGTAGGCCACTGAGGGAGCTGATCGCTGAGGCGAAGGCTGAGGTCACCGAGGAGATAGAAGAGCACAAAGAAGAAGAGGAGGAGGAAGAGACAGAGGCACGTCCGGTGAGTGGATATGGACCCTGTGCTGCAGTGCTGTGAATCTGTGTTTGTAGGTGTGAAAAATACGTGAAGCTTAACCAGAAAAGAGCTTCCTGCTGTTTCATTTCTTAACTTACAGCTGCAACTGCAGCTTATGTCAGTTATAAAGCAGTTATTGATCTACAGCTTGCATGAAGCGCCTAACTTGGAAATGCATTTAAAGGATAAGAGGTGCATGCAAGTTTTAATGTCCTGCTGTTGCAGTGAAACACAGTGAGCATCCTTCTTTTTAGTGTTAGTCTGTCTGCACAATCACACCGACTGTGGAGGAGAATCTGCAGCGTTGTCTAATGCAGCCAGGACTTTAGATTCTGCTCCTCAGTTTATAAGAACGGTCACAGTGAGTTCCAACACAGTAATTTGTCTTCATTTCCTCCTCCTCCTCTTCTTCTTTAGGGTCATAAACGCGCTCCTTCTGATGTCAGCGTCGGCAGCTCTGAGGATGAGAAGATCCCCCTCTCTCCCTCCAGTTTGGAATCCGTCCCTGAGAAGGCGGAGCCAATTCTTCCTTTGCCCATACCTGCTGATCTCCCTGTGGCCAACCACGTGGTGAGCACCAGCTTCGTAGAGGAACCTGCTGCTCCTGCTCCTGCTGCAGCAGACCCTGCAGAGGAGGCATTAAACACTCCAGTTAAGGATGAAGAGGCAGAAAAGAAGCCGGTAGAGGAAGAAGTTCCAGAAGTTCCTCTGGCTGATATCACCCCGCCAGAGTCTGAGCCGGAGACACCTGCTAAGGAGCTACAGCAGCTGGAACTAGCTGTGGAGGATGAGAAGGAGGTGGACACAGCTGAGGATGAGGAGCGCTCACAGGTCACTGAGGCTTCTCAGGAGGAAAAGACGCCCATCACAGAGGAAGCAAACACTCCAGCAGAGAAGGAAGAGGAAGATCGGTACAAGCATCTAAAGGTGACTCTGACACTACCAGATCAAGATAACGCTGTCCTGAAGGAGGAGGGTGGAGAGAAGCCCACAGAGAAGGATGAGAAGACGGTGCCAGACAGAGCGAAGGACAACAAAGAGAGAGATTCGGATTCTGGAAACAGCTCAGCTGCAGATAACAGCAGCGTAGACCTGAATCTGTCCATCTCGAGCTTCCTGTCCAAAGCAAAAGAGGCTGGATCTGTTTCCATACAGGTAACGCACACAGTCCACACACTCGCAGAGGAAAAACTGTCACACAGGCATCTAAAAAGTCTCCTCTGGGGTCTTTCAGGACACCAAGCGGCAGAAGAAGACGCTGAAGAAGACTCGCAAATTCATTGTGGATGGAGTGGAAGTTAGCGTCACGACATCAAAGATCATCACAGACAATGACACCAAGAACGAGGAGATGAGGTTCCTCAGGTAGTCTCTGCTTTTGCATAAACGGCAGGCGCCGCTTCAATGCAAATATTATTAAAATGAGTCATACAGGCAGCTTAGAGCACAACACGACTGTCACGTTAAGCTAAAAAACGACACGTGATTAACATCCTCCCTCCTCCTCAGGCGACAGGAGCTGAGGGAGCTGCGTCTCCTGCAGAAGGAGGAGCAGAGGGCCCAGCAGCAGCTCAGCAACAAGCTGCAGCAGCAGAAGGAGCAGATCTACCGACGCTT